TAATGATTTTCGCAGCGAAACGTCCAGTAGCTCTCGCGTAAACGTCTGGAGAAATGAAAACAAGTGTAAGAAATCAGGTTCGCCCTCAACTCGATGGATATGGGTACCCATATATTTTTCGGAAATTTTTTTGTAAAATTTTTTTCTCTGTAATGTCCCACGGATGTTCTTTATTGGTGCGGAACATCCGCAGAATATTCTTAGAATATTTCTAATGCTCTGAACTTGTTATTCATTCACACTTACTTTGGATGCTCTGAGAATATTCCAAGAACATTGTCAGAATATTCTGAGAATGTTCTGGATTTATCAATGAATGTCCTCAGAATATTCTACGAATATTGCTAGGTTATCTGGGGTTGCAATGAGGGAAAACCTGGAAAAGCTAAGGAATTTTAAAATAACATTGAGAGTCAGAGAGAAATCAGGAAATTTCACTCCGAGTCAGGGATATATTCTCAGGGCTGCGGCTCGACCGATAAAACCCTTATTGCGTCAACGTTGCCGAATTTAAGGGAACTTTTTGCCGAAAAGAGTGTCGTGGCCGTGAGTACTCAATCCGCGATTTATTTGCGATTTCAACTTGAAGGGATCCAAATATTATCATTGATCTGCTCTTGTTTTTTTTCTGCCTTTTCTTCTAATATTTCTTATTCAGGTATGGAATAACTTACAATATTTCCAGGCAGCATCCAAATTGTCGCATTCGGGTTCTTTCAAAGTTCCAACTTCATACATACAATTGCGGTGCTTCGTGAAGTTGTTTTTAAATAACTTTTTCTTTTTTCGTTGTAAGAAGTCAGGGAATAGTCAAAGAATATCACTGCCGTGCTAAAGAAGAACGCCGTATGAGCATTCGATAGTCGCCAAATTTCACTCAATAAAATATTTATTATTAAGGAAAGTTATGAATATTTTTCCTTAAAATTTTCAGAAACTATAGGTGAAACTGTGATCAACATTCTCTGAGAAATTGGAAGAAAAATATCCATAAGTTTACCAGGATTTGGCAACGCTTGAAGGTTCATACGGTGTTTTTCCTTAGCACGGCAGATCAGCGCCATTGGTCAGGTAATTTTTCCAAAAAGTTGGAGAAAGTTAGGGAAAAGTCAGGGAATTTTGAAATTTGATTAAACTTTCATTCTTGGCCTGGAGACATTCCCCGCATGATTGTAAACTTATAACGCTGAAAAATATTATAAGCCAGCCGCCGCCACACCCCCCCACCCCCCCCCCCCCCCCCCCAGGGTGGGTTTCATTCTCTATACCCTCCCTGAATTGAGGCTAAGTTTGTATCAAAAACTGCGTGAAAAGAATCTTGTTCAATTTTCAATAAATTTCCATGGTTTTAGCTTTAGAAACTCGTGAACAATTTTTCGCAATCCCTCGAAATTTTCAGGTTGGAATTACTGCTTTATTTAGCAAATTATCCAACCACTGAACTTTTCCAAGTAATAACCAACGAAACTTCTTTGAAAGAGTAAGATGATTCTGATAGTTTTTCCCCCTCTGAGTTCTCTTATCATTAGTGAAAAAATTATATTTTTGTGTGGTACAAGTCGTTGACGAAGAAACCTTGGTAACAAGAATAATTTTTTCTTTTTCTTCTCCTCGTTTTTTACCTTTTTTATATCATAACTCTCAGAAATCGTTTTTCCTGGGGTGACGATCACTGATGAATTGGAAGAAATTGAGGCAGATGAAAAGATCTCTGTCTATTTCATACATGTTTGTTTTCATCTATTACATAAAATGAACATAAATACTACTGGTACTCGCTTTTTAAGTACATCAACATGTTCGTTTGCCGGTTTGCGATTTGTCAGCGATCGCACTCGAATTCAGTAAATCTGCCCGGAAAACAAGCAAAAATTCCGTTTTATTCCGTTTTAATTCCGTTGCTTTTGGGTTATACGACTTACGCATCCGTTAATTTATGTACTTATTTTTTATATTCATTTTTCGTTTTGTTTACGAATTGAAAGGATAGGCACGATCCCTTGTTTAGTTTAAAAACTGCCTTTCTCCAAAGGTGTTCATTTGAAAATATTGTATCCACTAAAAAAATCATACGACTTGTATCATGTCTATAAAAATTATCAATATACAAAGAATCACATAGGCCGATTATCTATAAGTCCAGGAATATTCAACATCCTCTGTCTTTTCCTATACGAAACTACGAAGTTTAAAGACGTCCAAGTTATACTATGTTTAAAGACCAATACACGTTTCTTGGGCATTTTTTGGGCTCTGAGAAACATTTCCCATTCAACGAAAATTTTTGACTGAATTCAGTTTTTTCCAGTTAATGGATTTTTTTGGCTGTATTAAAACTGAGCAGTAATCGAAACAAGCTATTCAATCGCCGGCAACGGATGTCAGCTACGTACATGTATATATAATTGCGTTCGAAAGAAAAGAAGGCGCTATGACTACAGCTGCATACTATGAGGCGCCAACAAAATGAGCGATAAGCAACAGAACGAATGTGGCAGTCGGAAATCTCACCATAGACACATGAAAAAGGAAAAAATACATCTGAAAAATTGAAGGCTTCCTAGATTGTATCACTTTCGCCCCCGTGAATTTACTATTAAAATATTTTCGCAAAAGATATCGCTGGTGCGGTATTCATTTTGTTTGAATTTCGATTATGGAATGGATACGCGCTCACGCGTAGTTTTCTTCTTCTTCTTCTTCTTCTTCTTCTTCTTCTTCTTCTTACTTCATATTCATACTAATCGCGAACCCTAGTTGAGTTTTTTCCCCCCTTTTAGTCATAAGTATTGGGGTTGCCACAGTCAGGGAATATCAGAAAAAGTCAGGGAAAGTGACGAAAACGTCAGGGGAAAATCTTCAATTTACCATTATTTGCTCTCTCGAATAAGTTTGACGTTTCGAGCAACACATTTTACCGGAAAATTATGTCTAACTATGTCTTTTTAATAATCTGGCATTCGTTCAGTTCTCAGGGAATTTCACGAAAACGTTTCCGGGAAATCAGGGAAATGTTAGAGAATTCAATATTCCAAAGTCTGTGGCAACCCTGAAAGTATATAATTATACTCTTTTTGTTAACATGTCATCAGGTTAGCGTTCATTGCCGCATCTGCAGGAAGATCATCTAAAACGCTTCCGTACTTTTGAATATTTGGATTGCATTTTGCAATGAGGAACCACCATCTCCGCCTCTTCCACAAAAGCACCTCTCTACCTAGGGAAATCAATGGCATATTTGTTGTTTCTAAATTGAACTAAACATAGTGGTTCCTTAATGCAGAATGTAGTCTATTTGGACGTATTTCTATCAAACGGAACTATGTGCATTATGACGTGAGCCCTGAGACCCTTACGAATATATGCGTAATAGGGCTCACGTCGTAATGCATCTAGTTCCGTTTGGCAGAAATACGACAATTTAATGCTGATAATTCCCAAAAAATAAAGAAATTCCCAATTCTAAGAAATTTATTCAAGTGAACCCTGGTAAAAATTGGCAGTAGAATCTGTATTCCAAAGTACCATAGACCTACGGCCGGCTGTAAGATTTTCAATAGCTTCTATAGCCGGCTACACAATTTCTTATAGCCTTTTATAGCCGATTGCGATTAAGCAACTCGCAGCCAGGCGATAAAGTGTATGCTAAACGCCACTAATTACGGATGCTAGGACTTAGTGAGTTTTTGGACCACTGCTCTCTTTTTGGGCCGTAGTATCTTGATTTATTTTGCGAGGAAAGCTCCGTACTTTTGATGGACGCCTGCCATTCCTAATATATTAGAGCGCCTTCAGTTTTGTATGATACTGTGCAGTACCTCTGGTGTGAAATAGTTGCTTCAAGCGCCGTGGGCCGTGGCACGCTGCCGTGCGGCAGGCGGGCAGCCAGCGCGAAACGCGCATTGGCGCCTACAAACCTAACAGGGATACTTCACGCACTGCGCAGTGCGTGAAGTATCCCTGTTAGGTTTGTAGGCGCCAGTGCGTCGCCGCTCCGCTTTGTGCTAGGCTCTAATATTTAATCTGGCGGAGTCAGCGTTATTCAACTCATGATTTTGAAATGTTTGCACGTTCTGTATGGACCATCACATTTTAATTGATGGAAAAAAAAACATGTTTTAAAGGAAAATATAATGTGTGTTTTGTAAATATTAAGGTGGTTCCGTATCAAACTTTATGATTTTCAAAGCACACGAATTTCAATACAATTTCTTATAGCCTTTTATAATCGATGGCGAAAAAGCAACAGCCAGGCGATAAAGTGTAAAGCCCGGCTATAGGAACTATAGCCCGGCTGCATAATTTTTTATCGCTGCGTATAGCCCGGCCGTGTGATTTTCTCCGCATTCTACAGCCAGCTATATGATTTTCTGTAGCCTTCTTTAGCCGGCTATAAGAACTCCTATGGTATTTTGAAACGCAGCTCTTATCGCCAATTTTTACCAGGGTTGTTAGAATCCATTTGGATCGCATGTAGCAAAGAGGAACCAGCGGAAATACGGTGTTGTAAAAAAGTTGCTTCTTTATAATTTTCTAAAAAAAATCCCTCAGAATAGCGAATTGATTCGGCTCACACAAAAAACAATCCTAATTTTAAAGGAAGATAATCGTTTAAATTTGAACACTGTAAATATATTGAGTATTTTGAAAAGAAAAGAAGAAGTTGGAGGATTTTGAAAACATTGTAATGCCGCTGGTTTCTTTTTGCAGCATGCGATCCTATTGTGAGTTTGGTCCTGGTCGAGTAGGACATTCGATAATAATAATAATAATAATAATAATAATGGAGCATTGTTTGCCCCTGTGTGAGGGCTTAAAGCAACCCAGCAAAGCTGGTGACAGCAGTGAATATGAAAAATAATAATAATAATTTATTGTTTCTTTTGATTTAAAACAAAACAAAAGATTACAAAGTCAAAGTAAAAATTGTTATAAATCTAATATACATAATTTATGACATTATTGATTATGACACCATTTTTTCTGCCTTTTATTTTCAGGAGTTGGTGGCGAAGAACCGGTCGGGGAAGCGGAAGTTCATCCTCCTGACGGTGATCCCGGTCATGATTCTGGGGATCGCGGCCGTGTTGCTGCTCACCGTGGGCGACGGCGATGGCGCCGCGGACAAGGGCGCGTCCCCCTCCAGGGCCCTCCCCCTCTCGGACATCACCGAGGGCTGGTTCGACCGCTCCTCCCCCGTTTGGAACGGCACTTGGGTCTCAGGTCAGTTTTCCCCCACCACTTCCCGCTTTTCACCCTTAAGGTGATTCGTCGAGCTCAAGTGACGTGGTCGAACTGGCATGCGATATATCGCATCGATTAGGTCAAAAATCTCGGTCGATTTTGAATTTTTAGCGAAAAAAAGGACGATAGCCCCTGCGCATGAGCCTAAAGAATCATTCTAAACCCAAAAATTAATACAATTCCGAGAAATGAAAGCAGAATAGTGTTTGGAAAAAACCTCGCATTCTATTCAGCCGTCAATTTCTGTATCGAATGCGAGGTTTTTTTCCAAACACTATTCTGCTTTCATTTCTCGGAATTTTGCCGATTTTGGGGATTGGAATGATTCTTCAGGCTCATGCGCAGGGGCTATCGTCCTTTTTCTTGCTGAAAATTCAAAATCTGCCGAGATTTTTGACCTAAAAGATGCGATATATCGCATGCCAGTTCGACCACGTCACTTGAGCTTGACGAATCACCTTAAGGATTTTCACGAAAAAATCCGTTCGAGCCGAATCAGTTAGGTGTACTGCCGAGGTAATAAGGAAGAACGCCGTATGAACCTTCAGCGTTGCAAAATTTCCTCTCATAAAATGTGAATTTCCCTGTAAACTTATGAATATTTTCCTTCCAATTCTTCAGATAGTTTACTTCACAATTTCACCTAGGTAAAGATTCTGAAAATTTCAAGGAAAAATATTCATAACTTTTCTCAAAAATGAACATTTTATCGAAAGGAAATTTGGCAACTCTCGAATGCTCATACGGCGTTTTTCCTCAGCACGACAATATAATCATCAATTTTTCTCTATATTCATTCTTGAATATTGAGTTTTTTTGTCTCGGTTTACCCACGCACCTCACCTTAGGGATTTTCAGGGGAAAAATCGTAAAATCGTTGGAAGTCGGATCAATTAGGTTTAATAATCGATTCCTTGGTATATCGATTCTTGAATATCGAATTTTTTCGTCTCGCACCACTATCTTATCTCATTTTAGGGATGCGGATTTTCAGGACCAATTCGAAAAATCTATACATATAAGCCAAATCAATGTAGGTGTATGGTGTATAAATCAATTTTTTGCTTTATCGATTCTTGAAAATCGATTTGCCTTTTTGTCTTGCATCATTCACTTACCTCATTTCAGGGATGCAGATTTTCAGGACAAAATCGAAAAATCGATTTGAGCCGAAATAGATTTAGGAAATCGATTTTTCTGTTTATGGATTCTGAGGTAGTGATTTTTTTCGTCTCGTACCGCTTCACTCATTTTAGGAATGCGGATTTTCAGGGAAAAAATTGAAAAATGTTTTATGCCGAATCGATTTGGTGTAATAATCGATTTTTCTGTATATCCATTCTTAAGTATCATTTTTTTTTTTTTGTCGCACAGCTTACCTCATTTCAGAGATGCAGATTTTCAGAAAACAATCGAAAAATCGTTGGAAGCCAAATCTATCTAGGTGTAAAAATTGATTTTCCTGTTCATCGATTCTAAAATAGCGATTTTTTTTTTTTATCTCGCACCACTTGCCTCGTCAGAGAGATGTAGATTTTTCGGAAAAAATCGAATAATCAATCCAAGCCGAATCGGAAATGTTGACCCACATTGTTTTAAATAGTTGGTACTACTTACTGAGGAAGTGTTCTGCATAAAATATTGAACATTGATATTTTTTCTCCCAATTTTTTTAGGAGGGGGGGGGGGGGGAAGTACCTAGTACCTACCCACTGAAAAATTTGAGTTTCAGTCCTCATTTTTTGCCTAATAAATTTAAAAGAAAGACAAAAATGTTATTAATACGTTATTCATATATACCAAAATATGTATCTTGATCAAGGAAAGGTAATCCGATTTGAGTGTCCATCGTAAGACACATTATTCCTGACTTCATGATTTACAAGCATTGCCCATTTAATTTTGTTTTTGCCTCCTAACTAACATTTCTGTTCCCGCTAACATTCCAATCTTAATTTTTTTTTATCAATTTTCACCTCCCTTTTTATACTGTTTTCTTTATTTATGCTTCAGACACTGAGATCCTGATGAAAGATGAACATGAAAATCTCATCCTTCACGATGTGGAAGCTGCAAAGTCGACAGTTGTCCTCGAAAATAACCCAGATGTAAGTTGCTAAAATTGTGTTATTCTTCGAAATTCGCTTCCTCTCATGCTTAAAGAGCAATTACAGACTAAGATAAACCTCTGCCATTGGCTCAATCGTATTGACCATTGCATATTTAGATGGTGTAAAATCAAGAATGCATATGACTAATTATTGACTCAATAACTTCTGAACACATTTTGATTTGAGAAACCTATCTTATAACCCCTTGCAAATTTACATATTTTCTTTTATTCTATAATGGAGAGAGGGGAGTGAAATTATAATGTCATTGGATGGATAGAAATATCGACGATAAAACTAGTAAACCGCGTATTTCCTTAGCAATGTCTTGTAATCTTAGCTCATTTGTCAATTTTTTGGAGGAGAACAAATCAAAATCATTCCGTTAAGTTTTACCAGAAATTTCATCTTAAGGAGAAAAAATCATAGAAGCTTAAGAATTAAGTAACTCTCCATTTGAAAAATAAGTAATCAGCGGAAACTTTAACGTGCCAAACTGAATTGCACACGTCTTCACACCTCTTGAAGTGTGGTGCCATAAAATAGGCAACGTGCCTATTAAAAAGGAAGCAAAAGAGAGAAAAAATTGCTTTTTGGTTTCATAAAATTAGTCGTCTCCTGCCTCCTCCAAAACTACGAAACTAGCTTTTAAGTTGTTATCTTCCTTAAGAAAACTCATTTCATAGTTTCAGGTATTTTTCATTTAAAATTTGTAAAGGAAATATGCAAGCTCCAAGTCAGCTGCATAATTTTTTAGTGACGGAGGGATGTGTTTGTTTGATGTATTATTGTTACATATGATTAGGAGAAAAGTTATGGGAAAGAAAATGAAATCTTTGTAAGAATGGGGTTTTGCAGCACCTTGTAGAATCTATGAGGAGAAAAAAATTTACAAATTCCCCCTTTTTTTACCTTTGGGTTCTCAATATCATCACTCTGACCTATTGAGAGAGGAGAGAAAAAGAAGTTGCAACAAAATAAAAACCTCAGTGGCAAAACCAATAATTTTCAAAATCAAGCATTGCTTGAAGACAGTGTTATATTTCATTGCATTTTCGAAATTATATTCAACTTTTTTTTTTATCTGCTCTTTTCAGAAGCTGCTTTCAACAGGTATCCAGTATGAACTTTCAGCAGACAAAAGGTACATAATGATCGCCACAACTTATACCAGGGTGAGTGTCTGTACTCAAGTGTAGTGTGAAAACGATCACTGATTAACCAGACTTTTATTTGGTTATTATTTTAGCGAGTATTGTTCAGGACGTTGGTTCATCTATGAAATATTAAGTAGCATTGATAGACTAGCTGTTAAAGGACTTTAAAACAACTTTAAAAAAATGTTAAAATCAGGAAACCCTTTAAATCCTTTTTTAAGCAAAAATGTGACATTTATGTTAAGAAAGAAAATATGAAAAGATATTGGCATTAAAATTTTGTTAAATTCTAAAAATCTTGCATATTAATGCTGAATCCTAAATAAATTTCTAAATATGCAACGTAAAAAACAAAAATTTTATGTAAAATCTGTGTAAAATTTTTGTTAAAATTCACTTTAGGTAGTGAAGTTATAAAAAATTTGTATAAAAGCAAGGTGGTAGCATTTTTACATAATTAAATAACAAGAAGGGTTTCCTAACTGAGATATTTCAACAGTTTTTAAGGATTCTCTCTTTGGAATTTTCAACTTTTTCGACCTTTTTGCAAGCTCAAAATGCTACTAGGAGTATTAAGTTTACATTAAAACGAGTTTCTGTCTTCTAGTCCAAGTAAAGACAACAACATATTACCAATATGAACATTAGCAGACCATCTGACTTGGGTCCCTTCTGTTGCCTTTTGTGACATGGACTATAATTGATACCATATATATAATTGATAATTGATATATAACCAGTGATAAATTGGATTACATTATGCAAAAAGGAACTACTATCTCTTCCACAAAAGCACCCTTTGGCATAGGGAACCCAATGGCATTCATGTTGTTTCTGTAATGAGCCAGAAATAGTGGTTCCTTATTGCAAAATGTGGTCCAATTTGAACTTGAAAAACCGTGAAAGAAATGCCAGAAAGTACGAATTAGGGAAACCCTTTTTGTTCTCCTCCAAGTAGAATTTATGTGAAATTGGTGTGGAAAAATGAAGTCATGAAAAAAAATTAGCATCAAAATTTTCTGGAGTTCTAAAAGTAGTTTAACAAAGTCTTCACAACTCCTCATTGGTTCATTTTCGCAGAACTCACCACCTTGTGTTGGAAACTGAATTGCGTTTTGCAAAAAGGAGCCAAGAGCATTCCAATGTTGCTAGGGTTGTGCATCTTACATGGTTGCAATAAAATTACTGAAATCATGAAAAAAATTGCAATCCAACTCATTTAAGTTACTGATTTTGGCTCAAGTAAAAAAATGCAATTTTTATAGTTTTCTGGCTTGAGAAAATAATTTCTTCATTTGGAAATTTTAAAAAATGCATGAAACTGCCTGAAAATCAAATTTCAGGATTTCTCAGATTTCTTTAAACTTTCAGAAAAGGAAATTTTTTTAAATTTTCTTATTTTATTTAAAAATTACCATTGGGTTCTTGACCATGTTGTTTCTCCTTTCTTTCAGTTATATCGGTACTCATTTATTGCAAGGTATCAAATTTATGATATTCAGAAAAGGTAAGCTGTAAACTTTTTTATATCTTATGCTTGATTCAATTATAATGAGCTCTTAATAAAGTTATGAAAACGATAGCACTTATGAAATTTCATCTCTCAAGTATCTCAGTCAAGTAGAAAAATAAGGTATTTGAATAGGTAATTCAATTTGTGGGTTTTAAAAGCATGATTTTAGAATTTACATTTTGATTTATTGTGAAAATTGTAAAGAATGGGCATACTGTTAGAATGTTTACGGATTTTCTAATAAAGTTTTTTTTAGATTCCTAAACCTCCACTTTCTTTATCAAATAGTGTTTAAAATTCAGAAACAATAAGATGGTCAAAGTGAGAAACCACGTATCTCCATTGCGATGTTTCAAAATTTTCATTTCCATCGTACTTTTTCAAAGAGAAACAAACCAACTTATTAGCGTCAATTTTATGCAGAATATTCTGGTAACAGGGAGGCTATTAAGAAATTATGTTGACCAGTTTTCAAATAAAAAATGACAGGAAGTCTGAAATGTTTCAAACAAATTGACAGTTTGCAATTTAGCCATCAAGTAGTTTGTCAGCTACCTTAGCCAGGTACTATCCCAGCAATCATTCTGAAGCTAAAAAGTAAACCGCCTTGTTTTTTCCTCAGGGTTACATTTCCGCTGGCGAATGCAACCGTAAACACATCGGAGCCTCTGGAAGTGCAGCTTGTTATGTGGGCCCCTAAAGGCAATGGTTTTGCCTATGTTTACTTGAACAATGTCTACTATCGACCGTCTGCAGAGTCAACCATTGAATATCAACTTACCACCGATGGGATCCGCAATTATGTCTATAACGGAGTACCCGATTGGGTTTATGAAGGTATGTGCTTATGTTTCTATAAATCCTAATCTAATCTTGCCTGAACTTAAGAAGAATATCAATTTTCGAAGGTATGCTGACCTTTTTCACAGGCAGGAAGAGTGTTGTCAAATGTCAGGTTACTGAAAATGGGGCAAACCAGGACATGAAACGTGTTTTGGAGGAATACTAAAGGGAGGAAGTGAGTTTATCGCAATAATTTCGTATCAAGGACATTGAATATGAATGTGTTCCCACGTCCATTTAAAATAATTCCCTGACTGCCGTGGTAAGGAAAAACGCCGTATGAGCCTTCAGACATTGCCTTTCCTTTGACAAATTACGAATTTTCAGGAAAATTTATGAATATTTCTCTTTCGATTTTTCGAAGGATTTCGTTCAAAATTCGATCTCAATTATAAAAAAAACTTCAAGGAAAAATATGCATAACTTTCTTCAAAAATAACTATTTTCTGAGAGGAAACTTGGCAATATTCGAATGCTCTTGCAGCGTTTTTACTTAGCATGGCAGGACTATCCTGAAGAAGCATCTACAGAGCCGTAGTCTTGTCTTCTGTAAATTTTCATTTTTTTACTGTAGTCTTTTTCATTTTCACATTTTATTTTAACTTTCACTCTGTATGGGAATAACTAACGGAGTAATTTTGGATTATTTGCAGAGGAAGTACTAGCGTCAAACTCGGCCATGTGGTTCTCTCCCGATGGGCAGAAATTAGCTTACGCTTCTTTCAACGACACCTCGGTCCCTGTCATGACAGTGCCTTTCTATGGCGCTGCTAGCTCGCCCAAGTTCCAGTACCCGCTCCCTGTGAACATCAGGTACCCAAAGGTATTATTTTTTACAGCAAAATTTCATTTAAAGGTACATTGTTGTGAAATATTAGTGGCCCAAGGCTGCATGCGTCCATTGTCTGAGAATTCAATCGGTCAGTAAAAAACTAGGGGAGCGAGAAAGTAAAAATTTAATTTGTTGTAAATCACCAATTTTAACGCATCTTGAAATGTGTAGTATTTTGACACATACATTCTGTTTGTTTAAGTAATTTCTTCTCAGTTAAGTATCGATGATACTAGTGGTTGTGCTGAATGCGAAGGAGGACTGAATGTTTGATTTGGATACTTTTTACCAATTTTTCCACACTCTTTCTTCCCATGTTTGAAGTAATTTTAGGGACAAAGTTTTGAGACTGAACTGAACCATCATTGCTAGTCAGGAATATAATCAAGATCACAAATATTAAGAAAGGTGTAAAGATGCCAAGTTTTGAATTTTGATTGTGATCAAGTTTTGTGAGCGGAGACAACCCAGCAGCACTGGGCCCTTCTGATCCAACCCACTCCTAAATCCCAAATTTTGGTCTCCAAATCTGAATAAAATCTATCATTATTTTTCAATTGCAAGTATAAAGAGATAACACCCCAAAGTTTTACCCACAACGACTCAATTCATATGAAATGTCATTTAATCCTTCATTTATGATACCATCTCCAGTTTAGTTTTATATTTGCTTGAGAGCACCAATATGAATTCATGAATTCGTATGTACATAATTCTTCTAAACTGTCCGTCTTTTTTTTTTTTTCAGGCAGGGAGGTCTAACCCAACTGTCAATTTGAATCTTGTTACCTTACCAAAAGCATCCGAGAATCCAACAGCTCAACCTTCGTTGACTCTTCTTCCCAGACCTGATGATTTTTCTGAACAGTGCGTAGTTTTTTCTTTTTAATTTTTTTCCCCATCGAAAAATATTATTAATCTGTGATCATTTAAAACTAATCATATCCCATGATTCAGAAAGAATTCACATGGACTCAAAATTTTATTTTCTCAACTTTTAAAAACTTTCTCACCTTTTAAAAAACAGCAAGAAAGTTGTTTTCAAAAGAACGCATGTAGTATGTCATCTGCCTTTCATTCTTTTGATGACATTGAAGTATAAGTTGTACTAGCGGTTCTGGCATGAAGTGTTCGGGGAAACATAGTGACAATTTTACCGCCAAAGTTAATGTTGTAGTAAGTTATCATAATGTCATTTTTGGCAGTTGCCAGATAGAAATAAAAATCCAGTAAATTATCCTAATTGAGTTCAATTCTTTACAAGTCCTCTCCTCTTTTGTGCTTTCTTATTTGCCCAACTAATTGAACTTTTAATCCATGTGTCATGAATTATTTTTTCTTAATTTTAATAGGAAATATGTACCTTTTTATAAACAAAAGTTGTTTTCATTATATGCGTGAGGTATTAAAGTATGAAACTTCCAGACACTTTTTTCTCTTTCGTCCTATCAAGCTAAATTTTTCTCTAAAAATTTCAGCAATTCTATTCTCAGCATTGTAACATGGAGAGACGCTTCAAATATCATAGCCATTTGGTTCAATCGAGTTCAAAATTCATCTCGTATCATGCTATGCAAAGCAGAAGGCAAGCAAGAATGCTTCGTGGTACGTATTCCAATTCTTCAATATCTTTATACCTTTTTGTATCCTATCTGTCTTTACGCTAACATTGGAATTTAACTATAGTCCAAAACCCTTGTATTTAAAAATGGCAATTGCTAGAATTTTAAGTACAAGGATCATCTGTAAATTGAGCTTCTCTATATTCCTCTAAATCGTCCTGACAGAAAGAGATGAATGAAGTTGGTTAGAGGGGATGTGTGAGGCACGCTCTCAGCTTTAAAACAAACTCAAGTTATTTAAAATCTGTCAGAAGATCCGGAAGAAAAATCAACTTTTTTGTGATAGCTCAAGAGTTATTATAAGGCTATCTCTTCTTTACACATGGAGTCAATGGGCAACGTACGTTATGGTAGTTTCCAATATAAATTTTCAATAAATCCTCATCAATTTGATGTCATTTCAATCTGTATTAATAATGCTACACTTTATGGATCAATTTACTGCATTTACATGCACTGGACAGTAATTATTTGCCTCGTGAAGACACAAAGCATGTAGCAGCACAATATAGTAACGAATCTTGTTCCTAGATCTTTTAGAACCACCTTAACAAAATAGCCACTCGTCTGAGAATCTGCACATTATTTTTACAGCTCTATAAGTTAGATGAAAGTAACGGTTGGATCGAGATTGATAAAGCTCCAGTTTTTTCTGAAGATGGGAAACACATGCTGTTAGTGCTTCCTCACCTAGACCCTTCAGGCTCAGATAAATACCCGCATATCACTCGCCTCTCAACCGAAGTTCCCAAGGAAAGCATCCCACTGACTGAAGGTGCATTTTCAGTCAATCATATCCATGGTTGGGACTGGGCGGAGCATAAAATGTATGTAATATTAAACTTTTTCCTTTTTCTCCCTGCTACAGAATGAATGCAAGAATTTTCCACCAATTTTTGGTTCTTCCACTCATAAAATTTTTTTTTTTTTTTTTTTTTT